CTGATGGCTTCAGTTCAGACCAACTGAACTGACCTAGCTTCACTACGGACAATATTGAAAGGCGACGGTCACCCCACGTAAGAGCTGGAAAAGTCACATTTTCAGATGAGAGACCCACAGAACTTGCAGAAGCCCGATTGGGGTGTTATTCGGTGTTCAACATTTTGCTGCATCCTATCACTATCTGGTCCGCAGATGGATTTAAACTCATGTTTGCGTTTTACTCTAATCTGTCCTGCTAGTTTCTCGATAGCTTCACAATAGCTCTCATTTGCGGTAGATCACATTGAATGTCCATGCACTGCATAAACTAGAGGAAGCTTTAGTCAGGCCCTATTCTTCTCCATAGCATTACATGTACGACCTACGACAAAACAAACGGAAAAACACCCATTTTGTCCTGATCAGATAAAAGTACGCTATTCTTTCGAATTTTAGATTCGCGCGCTTTTATATTCAGCTGTCAAGGCACTCATTCATACTTTTTCACTTCCATTCCCTGCCAGAGTGGGCGCAAGATACTGAATAGATTGACACTTGGAATCTTATGGACCTAAAGCTTGTGAAACTTTCCTTGTTTGAAAAAAGAACGTTTGTAAGCAGCTTGATCTCTACACATTCTCGATTTCTCTTTGCCAGCAACCAAAAGATGGTGAAGAAAAGAAGGAGAAAGCAGAGGAGAATAAAAGTCTTCAGAATGATGGAGATAAGACAGCACTGGAAGCACAGAAGAAAGATGAGAAGCAGAAAGAAGACGACCAGGAACGGAGAGATAAGTCCAATAAGGAAAAGCAAGGGGAAGAAAAGAAGGAGAAGATAGAGGACAAGAATGCAAATAAAGAAGCAGTCAAGAAAGAGGACAAGAACAATCCTAAGGATGAAAATATGGGAAAGAATGAGGTTAAACAGGATGAGGAGAAGAAAAAAGAGAAACACGAAGACATGCCAGCTGGTGAAGTAAATGACAAAAAAGAAGACGAAGACAAGCCTGATAAACTAAAGACAGCGAAAATAGAGGTTAACCAGGAAGAAAAGAAATCGGAAAAAGCGGAAGATAACAAGCAGGCTGAAGCGAAAGAGGAAGAAACACAAGCAGGCGATCCTGGCGAGTCACAAGGAACTCCATCACTGCACAAAGAGAATGAAAACATTGAC